TCTAAAAACTAAACTGTGAAAAGCAAAGCCTCAGCATTAAGTCACCAAGCCTTGCTTCCTAAGCTCGCTAACCCATTTTTAAAATTATGGTACTGCTATTTCAAAACTGATCGGGAGCTTCAGAACAAAGCATTTCTCTGGTGACACTTCTGTGCTGTAAACACAAAGGCAGCAAGGGGTTCAGTCCAAAGCAAGAAAAACCAAGTTCCCTTTCTCCATATGAGCGTGAATCATTGCCTAAGCCTTCCAGCTCAACTGATGAACAACAGAGCCAAGAGATTTACAAATATGAGAAACTCCCACAGCTATGGACCCGAGAGTAACCCTCACTTCTAATAGGACCAAGCGGCTAAAGGACTTGCATTTTTAAGTCAACATTTGCATTCAGAATCTATATGATCCATTCACTCTAAGTCTGCATAACATGCAGAGCAATGATGCTCTGGGTTCAACAAGTGCAAACAACAACTAAAAGAAATCTAAGAGAATTAAAAAGGGGGGGGCTGATACTCAGAACCGATTTTGCACAGTCTTGACACAGTGCTGTAGTGCTGTCATTGGAAACTTCTCTCAAATATAATGCGATTCCAGTGCTTGAGCACTAGAGGGTTAATTTGTGATGAAAACAGAGCCTTACCTCAGTTTCCTTATTTTTATAGGTAAACATTTAATCTCTTACCACCTCTTCAGCTGTCATGAGTTTTGCTAGCTGAAGCTCTTTCTGAGGCCATGCAGCACTGGGATGGAGGAGTAATGTCACACAAATGCAAACTTTTTGCAAGAGTACCCTCAATAATTTTAAACTACGCATGTCACACCAAACCCGTAACTGCTTTCGCTGGTCAGCTGCAGGGTGCACACCTTTTCAAAAGGATCACCGTGTTGGTCTGGAAGTTGTGTCTTGTGACCGGGAGTGGCAAAAGACTGATGAGGTACTAGCCCATAGCCCATTTTGAAAAATACTCATCCCGTACATATACAGCAGCCTCTTCTCATGCCTAATTATCATCCCTTTGAATAATACAAAAAACGCAAGTACTGTCCATTTAAATAAAAGGGATGCTCAGCACCACCTGCAGTTGTACTCGCACCCAACAACAAGCACTGGGATGGCAGCAGAAGGGTGGGCATCATCCAGAGGGCAGAATTCAGGCCCACTAGATTGCAGCCTTGCCACTCAACTAAAAAACCCCAACGCCTCTAAAAGTATATGCATATACCAGAAATTTGGGGCATTACTATATGAACAAACCAGAAATCCTTCTCCTTCCCAATAGGATTTGTAATGGAAACAGCATATAATTTCATTCCAATACCACAGATTTGCCACTACATTAAAGAGCATTACTGTTACGGAAGGATGAACGGTAAATCAGCATCCCCAGCTCTCCAGGCTACAGCCCTCTTCAGGGGAATGGGGATTCTGAGTGCCCCTTCATTTCAGGCTATAAATATATCCCATGAGAGAAAGCAAAGCCGTTGATTAAGGAATGCTTAAACACGACTACTTCTACTTTACTTCTTTTCTTTACTTCTAGCCCAACAAACTTTGTTATACCACAGTTTTGTTCTTATATTAGCCTTCTTGTCAGGGACAAGAGAACTGGGCGACACTGCTTCTTTGTATACAGTGATACTTTCTCTGGTAAACATGGTACATCAATTATACAGACTGTGTTGTAAAAAATCCTATCTAATTCTCCGGAGCAGTGGATAGATTTAACAGTGAGGTAAAACATTAGTGATGACTGCAATATACCCATGCAAAAGACACCTTTGTATCATATTAATAAAGAGTCTCAAATACCATTATGTGTTGAGAAATAAAAAGTATAAAAAGGTAGGTGAGTCATACAGACAGCACCACGGCATTCAGTAATGACTGTGACCTTTGCAAATTACTGCCCTGTGAAAGTTCACAAAAATTAGCAAACAAAAAAGCAGGGGGCTGCTCTTTTAAATGATTTTTAAATGATCATATTGTGCAGTCTAGTATATTTATTAAAAAAAACAAGATTGAACATGGAGCTTCAGCTCTGCAATCTATGAAAAAAAATCCCAAAGAACTGAAGGGGATCCGTATCTGCTGGAAATCATGAACTGCAAATATTAACAACATTTTACTTCATGTAGAAATGACAATTCCATTATTCATCTTTGAAAAGTATTTTTAAAAAATTGGTCCTCCCATCCCTACCATAAATACAAAGTCTCTATTACAAATAAATGTGTTCTCCCATGCATAAATAAATCACATACATTCAGCTGCAAGAAAACAGATCAGTCAAAACAGCTCAACTGTAATTATACACTGACCAAAAGAATTCCACTGCAACTGAAATTGAATGGCTTGTACTTCAGGTCATTAGCCGAGTGCTGACCAGTACAATTTTAAATGCTAAAATATCCCCAAAAAAAGGGGGGGGAGGGACACTTGAGAAAAATGTGCAAAATATCTGAGAAAGCAGGAACTAAGTTCATGTAAAACAAATTTAAAAATAACGAAAAAACCCTGCCCTCTTGTCTCACCTCAGAGAAATTTTGTTAAGCTTCCCTTACTTCTCTAAGGCTGTTTATGCATCACAATTTGAAAACAGTAACTGAGACAAAAATCATTTACATCTTCCTCCAGATCTACACAATGAAATGCTGTACTAGCTTATAACACTGGAAATCAGAAATCAAGTCTCATAATTAGCCAGTCTTTCCTAACAAACCCATGTTTACAGAATGGCACTCTGAACAATGAAGTAGAGGAAAAAAAAGAAAAAAAAGGATGCGTTGTGTTGAAAGGTTTAAGAATGCGTGTACTTTCCAAAAAGCTGAAATGCTTCCATGAACATATCGTTTAACTCTGGACTTACCAAACATTCCAAATTCAGGAAAACAAAACTACTTTACTCATTAAAATATTCTGACAATATTGCAACATAGTCTTGAGTGTCAATTTTGAGCAGTGAGAAAATCTTTTTTTTTATTTTAATAGGAAAGGGAGAAGAAAGGCTAAGTTGAGAGAACCCTTTTCTTCAACAAAAAAAAGAAAGAAAAAGAACTGGTGAGCTTCTTTCTTCTCCTGCCATATAGCAGATCTCTTCTTGGATTTCACACCACCGACCATACCCTGTCAGAGATCTTGAACAGTTTACATTACTTCTTTTGAAGGATTAATCTAGTCCGGCCCAGAGATAAAAACCAAAATGCACAATGAATTCCTACACTGAATTCCAGCTTGTTACTGTGAACTCAACATAAGAAAAGAAAAAAGGAATCCCACACATTTTGTAGTATATACACTGCTTTCACACAGTATTGGAGTTAGTCAGAGGAATACGTAAAGGGACAAGATAGTTTTGTACAAAACCTCAATTTATTTCAGAGAAATTAAAAATATGGTATTTAATATATATAAATTTCTATTCCTCTATAAATATAGATGATCTTGTGATAATGAACAGAAATAAATGCATACCAAATTCAAATAATTTTGCATTTCAGGGTATGGTAGCCATAGATAATGTTTATGAACCTAAATACAGGCATTTGTAATATAAAAAAAGTTTAAAAGAATACAATCAGGAGAGAAGCATTCTGCTGTTTTTCATACAGAGGACTAAATATTCAAATGCATCTGTCGAAAGTTACAATTTCATTTTTAACCTTTTTTTTTTGTATTAAGAAGCACAATCCCACACACCCAGGAGCATACAAGGTAGTAGATACACTGCACACATGGTACCTTATCTCTGCAGTATGCAATGTTATTCCCGTACCGAAAAAAAGAGGGGAAAAAAAAGACAGCAGAGGCTCTTTAAGGTCTCACATACCACCAGAGTGCTTAAACATTCCGGTTTTGTGTTTTCCCTTCCTTTGTTTTTACTACTGGCAAAAATCATCACACCCTCATAATATGTAATGAATTAAACGTCAATGAATTAAAATTCAGGGGAATGGCAATGGCTCCAATGTTTCCCAAATGAAGAGCCAGCTTATGGATATAATTAAGAAAAAACAAAACAAAAACCTGAATGCTGCGTTTTATTCCAGTAAGGCTCTTTTTTCTGAGCCCGCGTTTCCTGGTCCTGCTAACCCCAGCCAACAGCAGCCCGGCAGGGAGGGCACCAGGGCAGGAGGCGGTGGGAGCACCCGCAGGGTGCCCACGGGGAGCGCCGGCCCCGGCCCCGGCTCCGCTGCCACCGCTCCCACCTCACCACCGAAAAGTGGGCTTAAAAAAACACAACAAGAGGGAAATTATCTACGTCCCCATCCGCCTCCTAAACCATTGGACGTGCTACAGGTGCAGATGGTGTCAAACCTCAACTCCTGCAACAGAACAGGCCAACTCCTCTTAAACTATGTGGTGCATTTAAATAAATTTTGTAAAACTGGGAGAGGGCAGCCGGCAGCCAATCCCCCTAGCCCCGGGCACTGCGGAGAGGGTCTCCCTCCAGAGAAAGGCCGGGCACACCGCCGGGCAGGGCTGGATGTGGGGGGCCGCCTCCCCCACACGGGGCCGGGGCCGGGGCGGGAAGCGGCGCTCCTCCCCAAAAGGGGGTCCCGCTGGGGCCGGCCGAGGCGAAGTGAAGCGCCGTGCGCCGTCCGTGGCCGGGCGGCTGTCAGTCCTCCTCCCCCACACGGGGCCGGGGCCGGGGCGGGAAGCGGCGCTCCTCCCCAACCCCACCTCCACCGCCACCGCCACATACCTCTGGCAGGCCGGGACCGGGGACCGGGGCCCAGCCCGCCTCAGGAGGCGC